GTGTAGGTATATTACATGTACATGAGTGTGTAGGTACATGAGTGTGTAAGTATATTACATGTACACATGAGTGTGTAGGTATATTACATGTACATGAGTGTGTAGGTATATTACATGTACATGAGGGTGTAGGTATATTACATGTACATGAGGGTGTAGGTATATTACATACACATGAGTGTGTAGGTATATTACATGTACATGAGTGTGTAGGTATATTACATGTACATGAGTGTGTAGGTATATTACATGTACATGAGTGTGTAGGTATATTACATACACATGAGTGTGTAGGTATATTACATGTACATGAGTGTGTAGTATATTACATGTACATGAGTGTGTAGGTATATTACATGTACATGAGTGTGTAGGTATATTACATGTACATGAGGGTGTAGGTACATGAGTGTGTAGGTATATGACATACACATGAGTGTGTAGGTATATTACATGTACATGAGTGTACATGAGTGTGTAGGTATATTACATGTACATGAGTGTGTAGGTACATGAGTGTGTAAGTATATTACATACACATGAGTGTGTAGGTATATTACATGTACATGAGTGTGTAGGTATATTACATGTACATGAGGTGTAGGTATATTACATGTACATGAGGTGTAGGTATATTACATACACATGAGTGTGTAGGTATATTACATGTACATGAGTGTGTAGGTATATTACATGTACATGAGTGTGTAGGTATATTACATGTACATGAGTGTGTAGGTATATTACATACACATGAGTGTGTAGGTATATTACATGTACATGAGTGTGTAGGTATATTACATGTACATGAGTGTGTAGGTATATTACATGTACATGAGTGTGTAGGTATATTACATGTACATGAGGTGTAGGTACATGAGTGTGTAGGTATATTACATGTACATGAGTGTGTAGGTATATTACATGTACATGAGTGTGTAGGTATATTACATGTACATGAGTGTGTAGGTATATTACATGTACATGAGTGTGTAGGTACATGAGTGTGTAGGTATATTACATGTACATGAGTGTGTAGGTATATTACATGTACATGAGTGTGTAGGTACATGAGTGTGTAAGTATATTACATACACATGAGTGTGTAGGTATATTACATGTACATGAGTGTGTAGGTATATTACATGTACATGAGGTGTAGGTATATTACATGTACATGAGGTGTAGGTATATTACATACATGAGTGTGTAGGTATATTACATGTACATGAGGTGGTAGGTATATTACATGTACATGAGTGTGTAGGTAGGTACATGAGTGTGTAGGTATATTACATGTACATGAGTGTGTAGGTATATTACATGTACATGAGTGTGTAGGTACATGAGTGTGTAGGTATATTACATGTACATGAGTGTGTAGGTACATGAGTGTGTAGGTATATTACATGTACATGAGTGTGTAGGTATATTACATGTACATGAGTGTGTAGGTATATTACATGTACATGAGTGTGTAGGTACATGAGTGTGTAGGTATATTACATGTACATGAGTGTGTAGGTATATTACATGTACATGAGTGTGTAGGTATATTACATGTACATGAGTGTGTAGGTATATTACATGTACATGAGTGTGTAGGTACATGAGTGTGTAGGTATATTACATGTACATGAGTGTGTAGGTATATTACATGTACATGAGGGTGTAGGTACATGAGTGTGTAGGTATATTACATGTACATGAGTGTGTAGGTATATTACATGTACATGAGTGTGTAGGTATATTACATGTACATGAGTGTGTAGGTACATGAGTGTGTAGGTATATTACATGTACATGAGGGTGTAGGTATATTACATGTACATGAGTGTGTAGGTACATGAGTGTGTAGGTATATTACATGTACATGAGTGTGTAGGTATATTACATGTACATGAGTGTGTAGGTACATGAGGGTGTAGGTATATTACATGTACATGAGTGTGTAGGTACATGAGTGTGTAGGTATATTACATGTACATGAGTGTGTAGGTATATTACATGTACATGAGTGTGTAGGTATATTACATGTACATGAGTGTGTAGGTACATGAGTGTGTAGGTATATACATGTACATGAGTGTGTAGGTATATTACATGTACATGAGTGTGTAGGTATATTACATGTACATGAGTGTGTAGGTACATGAGTGTGTAGGTATATTACATGTACATGAGTGTGTAGGTATATTACATGTACATGAGTGTGTAGGTATATTACATGTACATGGGTGTAGGTACATGAGTGTGTAGGTATATTACATGTACATGAGTGTGTAGGTATATTACATGTACATGAGTGTGTAGGTATATTACATGTACATGAGTGTGTAGGTACATGAGTGTGTAGGTATATTACATGTACATGAGTGTGTAGGTATATTACATGTACATGAGGGTGTAGGTATATTACATGTACATGAGGGTGTAGGTATATTACATACACATGAGTGTGTAGGTATATTACATGTACATGAGGGTGTAGGTATATTACATGTACATGAGTGTGTAGGTACATGAGTGTGTAGGTATATTACATGTACATGAGTGTGTAGGTATATTACATGTACATGAGTGTGTAGGTACATGAGTGTAGGTATATTACATGTACATGAGTGTGTAGGTACATGAGTGTGTAGGTATATTACATGTACATGAGTGTGTAGGTATATTACATGTACATGAGTGTGTAGGTATATTACATGTACATGAGTGTGTAGGTACATGAGTGTGTAGGTATATTACATGTACATGAGTGTGTAGGTATATTACATGTACATGAGTGTGTAGGTATATTACATGTACATGAGTGTGTAGGTACATGAGTGTGTAGGTATATTACATGTACATGAGTGTGTAGGTATATTACATGTACATGAGGGTGTAGGTACATGAGTGTGTAGGTATATTACATGTACATGAGTGTGTAGGTATATTACATGTACATGAGTGTGTAGGTATATTACATGTACATGAGTGTGTAGGTACATGAGTGTGTAGGTATATTACATGTACATGAGGGTGTAGGTATATTACATGTACATGAGTGTGTAGGTACATGAGTGTGTAGGTATATTACATGTACATGAGTGTGTAGGTATATTACATGTACATGAGTGTGTAGGTACATGAGGGTGTAGGTATATTACATGTACATGAGTGTGTAGGTACATGAGTGTGTAGGTATATTACATGTACATGAGTGTGTAGGTATATTACATGTACATGAGTGTGTAGGTATATTACATGTACATGAGTGTGTAGGTACATGAGTGTGTAGGTATATTACATGTACATGAGTGTGTAGGTATATTACATGTACATGAGTGTGTAGGTACATGAGTGTGTAGGTATATTACATGTACATGAGTGTGTATGTATATTACATGTACATGAGTGTGTAGGTACATGAGTGTGTAGGTATATTACATGTACATGAGTGTGTAGGTATATTACATGTACATGAGTGTGTAGGTATATTACATGTACATGAGTGTGTAGGTATATTACATGTACATGAGTGTGTCGGTATATTACATGTACATGAGTGTGTAGGTATATTACATGTACATGAGTGTGTCGGTATATTACATGTACATGAGTGTGTAGGTATATTACATGTACATGAGTGTGTAGGTATATTACATGTACATGAGGGTGTAGGTACATGAGTGTGTAGGTATATTACATGTACATGAGTGTGTAGGTACATGAGTGTGTAGGTATATTACATGTACATGAGTGTGTAGGTATATTACATGTACATGAGGGTGTAGGTACATGAGTGTGTAGGTATATTACATGTACATGAGTGTGTAAGTATATTACATGTACATGAGTGTGTAGGTATATTACATGTACATGAGTGTGTAGGTACATGAGTGTGTAGGTATATTACATGTACATGAGGGTGTAGGTATATTACATGTACATGAGTGTGTAGGTACATGAGTGTGTAGGTATATTACATGTACATGAGTGTGTAGGTATATTACATGTACATGAGTGTGTAGGTACATGAGGGTGTAGGTATATTACATGTACATGAGTGTGTAGGTACATGAGTGTGTAGGTATATTACATGTACATGAGTGTGTAGGTATATTACATGTACATGATGTGTAGGTATATACATGTACATGAGTGTGTAGGTACATGAGTGTGTAGGTATATTACATGTACATGAGTGTGTAGGTATATTACATGTACATGAGTGTGTAGGTACATGAGTGTGTAGGTATATTACATGTACATGAGTGTGTATGTATATTACATGTACATGAGTGTGTAGGTATATTACATGTACATGAGTGTGTAGGTACATGAGTGTGTAGGTATATTACATGTACATGAGTGTGTAGGTATATTACATGTACATGAGTGTGTCGGTATATTACATGTACATGAGTGTGTAGGTATATTACATGTACATGAGTGTGTCGGTATATTACATGTACATGAGTGTGTAGGTATATTACATGTACATGAGTGTGTCGGTATATTACATGTACATGAGTGTGTAGGTATATTACATGTACATGAGTGTGTAGGTATATTACATGTACATGAGGTGTAGGTACATGAGTGTGTAGGTATATTACATGTACATGAGTGTGTAGGTATATTACATGTACATGAGTGTGTAGGTACATGAGTGTGTAGGTATATTACATGTACATGAGTGTGTAGGTATATTACATGTACATGAGTGTGTAGGTATATTACATGTACATGAGTGTGTAGGTATATTACATGTACATGTGTAATACATCGTCATTGTTTCAGCTCGCCCTGGTGGCTACGCCTTCTGCTAGTCTGCTCGGTGATTTATCTTTACAACCTTCTTTCAGGTACCTGATGGTACGGAGGAACACCAACAGAAACTCCTTTGTCAGGAGGGCTCTGATTCAGGATCATGCTGTACTCAGATAATGAGGAGCGGACCTGTTGGAGATGCAGACCAAGGCCATCGTGTAGATAAATGCTGCACTCACATCGTTTGATCGCTGGCCGTTTCCCAGTGCGTACTTGCCATCGCTCTCCAGGAAGCGGATCTTCACGTTGTAAACCTTCTTGTCATGAAACACGGCCAACACCAACGGCTCACTGTCGCTGCTGATGGAGCAGTCTCGCACCAAAAAGGCCCCGTCCTTTAGGCGGGTCATGAAACGACAAAAAGGAGGCGGGTTAACCTTCAGACATGTTCACGTCATCGCTCATGTTGTGATGAGAACAGATGTGGTACCTTATTGACCAGGTGTAAGGCGTGCTCAGCATCTGCACGGTTACAAGGCCCCACATACCAGTCTTCTTCTTCACAGTATGTCTGCCACACATCACAGAGTTTAGTGCACCACAAAAACCTGCAGAGCCGCGAGCTAAAGCGGCATGCTAACCTGCAGAGCCGCGAGCTAAAGCAACATGCTAACCTGCAGAGCCCCGAGCTAAAGCAACATGCTAACCTGCAGAGCACCGAGCTAAAGCAGCATGCTAACCTGCAGAGCACCGAGCTAAAGCAACATGCTAACCTGCAGAGCCCCGAGCTAAAGCAACATGCTAACCTGCAGAGCACCGAGCTAAAGCGGCATGCTAACCTGCAGAGCACCGAGCTAAAGCAACATGCTAACCTGCAGAGCACCGAGCTAAAGCAACATGCTAACCTGCAGAGCCCCGAGCTAAAGCAACATGCTAACCTGCAGAGCACCGAGTTAAAGCGGCATGCTAACCTGCAGAGCACCGAGCTAAAGCAACATGCTAACCTGCAGAGCACTGAGCTAAAGCAACATGCTAACCTGCAGATTACCGTAACGCTTCTACTAACAGCCCAGAGCTAAAGCAACATGCTAACCTGCAGATTACCGTAACGCTTCTACTAACAGCCCAGAGCTAAAGCAACATGCTAACCTGCAGATTACCGTAACGCTTCTACTAACAGCCCAGAGCTAAAGCAACATGCTAACCTGCAGATTACCGTAACGCTTCTACTAACAGCCCAGAGCTAAAGCAACATGCTAACCTGCAGAGCACCGAGCTAAAGCAACATGCTAACCTGCAGATCCCCGAGCTAAAGCAACATGCTAACCTGCAGATTACCGTAACGCTTCTACTAACAGCCCAGAGCTAAAGCAACATGCTAACCTGCAGAGCACCGAGCTAAAGCAACATGCTAACCTGCAGAGCACCGAGCTAAAGCAACATGCTAACCTGCAGATTACCGTAACGCTTCTACTAACAGCCCAGAGCTAAAGCAACATGCTAACCTGCAGATTACCGTAACGCTTCTACTAACAGCCCAGAGCTAAAGCAACATGCTAACCTGCAGAGCACCGAGCTAAAGCAACATGCTAACCTGCAGAGCACCGAGCTAAAGCAACATGCTAACCTGCAGATCCCCGAGCTAAAGCAACATGCTAACCTGCAGAGCACCGAGCTAAAGCAACATGCTAACCTGCAGATCCCCGAGCTAAAGCAACATGCTAACCTGCAGAGCACCGAGTTAAAGCGGCATGCTAACCTGCAGAGCACCGAGCTAAAGCAACATGCTAACCTGCAGAGCACCGAGCTAAAGCAACATGCTAACCTGCAGAGCACCGAGCTAAAGCAACATGCTAACCTGCAGATCCCCGAGCTAAAGCAACATGCTAACCTGCAGAGCACCGAGCTAAAGCAACATGCTAACCTGCAGAGCACCGAGTTAAAGCGGCATGCTAACCTGCAGAGCACCGAGCTAAAGCAACATGCTAACCTGCAGAGCACCGAGCTAAAGCAACATGCTAACCTGCAGATCCCGAGCTAAAGCAACATGCTAACCTGCAGAGCACCGAGCTAAAGCAACATGCTAACCTGCAGATCCCGAGCTAAAGCAACATGCTAACCTGCAGAGCACTGAGCTAAAGCAACATGCTAACCTGCAGAGCACTGAGCTAAAGCAACATGCTAACCTGCAGAGCACTGAGCTAAAGCAACATGCTAACCTGCAGAGCACCGAGTTAAAGCGGCATGCTAACCTGCAGAGCACCGAGCTAAAGCAACATGCTAACCTGCAGAGCACCGAGCTAAAGCAACATGCTAACCTGCAGAGCACCGAGTTAAAGCAACATGCTAACCTGCAGATCCCGAGCTAAAGCAACATGCTAACCTGCAGAGCACCGAGCTAAAGCAACATGCTAACCTGCAGAGCACCGAGTTAAAGCGGCATGCTAACCTGCAGAGCACCGAGCTAAAGCAACATGCTAACCTGCAGAGCACCGAGCTAAAGCAACATGCTAACCTGCAGATCCCCGAGCTAAAGCAACATGCTAACCTGCAGAGCACTGAGCTAAAGCAACATGCTAACCTGCAGAGCACCGAGTTAAAGCGGCATGCTAACCTGCAGAGCACCGAGCTAAAGCAACATGCTAACCTGCAGAGCACCGAGCTAAAGCGGCATGCTAACCTGCAGAGCACCGAGCTAAAGCAACATGCTAACCTGCAGAGCACCGAGCTAAAGCAACATGCTAACCTGCAGAGCACCGAGCTAAAGCGGCATGCTAACCTGCAGAGCACCGAGCTAAAGCAACATGCTAACCTGCAGAGCACCGAGCTAAAGCAACATGCTAACCTGCAGAGCACCGAGCTAAAGCAACATGCTAACCTGCAGAGCCCCGAGCTAAAGCGGCATGCTAACCTGCAGAGCACCGAGCTAAAGCAACATGCTAACCTGCAGAGCACCGAGCTAAAGCAACATGCTAACCTGCAGAGCACCGAGCTAAAGCAACATGCTAACCTGCAGAGCACCGAGCTAAAGCAACATGCTAACCTGCAGAGCACCGAGCTAAAGCAACATGCTAACCTGCAGATTGCCGTAACGTTTCTATTAACAGCCACACACACCGGTTAGCTTGTGCTAGCGTGCGTTATCTTGCAGTGTAGGTACAAGCAGTAAACGTAAATGGAAAAATCCTTCAGGGGGCGGGGCTTCTGGGGGAGATGAGCCCAGGAGGAGGGGCCACGTTTGAATATTTACAAACATTTCTACTGACTCCGCCTACTAAATGCATCCAGGGCTCAAACTGAGAGCTGCCTTCATATTTCAAAACATGCGGCTGCACCAGGCAAGTAAAAGGGGCGGGGCCTTGAATTAGGATGGGCTTTTATTTGAAGTGTTATGGTATCTGAAGCACGTTTACCTGTTGAGGCTTTTCCATTGGAACAAAGTCGTGTTGGTCAAAGTCCTCTTTGGTCTGAGGCCACTCGTGGTGCTGGCGTTTGGACGCACCCCTTTCTTTAAGCGGTGGTTAAGGTTGTTTAATGGTCATAATGATGATGATGATGATGATGATCAACTGAAATGTAACTTACCGGGATTGTGTTGTGACCTTAATAAAGAAAGAAACATGAAGCACATGTCAATCAAAGCGAAGACAGCACAGCTCACATGAACAGCTTCAGGAATCAAAACAAACCTCTTTTCTAAATCATGAGTCTCCAGATCCAAAGAGAGTCTCTGACTGGAGACATGCTGAGCACTCTGTGGACCTGAACCATGAAGAACAAACCATCAGAACAAACCATCAGAATAAACCATCAGAACAAACCATGAAGAACAAACCATGAAGAACAAACCATCAGAACAAACCATCAGAATAAACCATCAGAACAAACCATGAAGAACAAACCATCAGAACAAACCATGAAGAACAAACCATGAAGAACAAACCATCAGAACAAACCATGAAGAACAAACCATGAAGAACAAACCATGAAGAACAAACCATCAGAACAAACCATGAAGAACAAACCATCAGAACAAACCATGAAGAACAAACCATGAAGAACAAACCATCAGAACAAACCATGAAGAACAAACCATGAAGAACAAACCATGAAGAACAAACCATGAAGAACAAACCATGAAGAACAAACCATCAGAACAAACCATGAAGAACAAACCATGAAGAACAAACCATGAACAAACCATCAGAACAAACCATGAAGAACAAACCATCAGAACAAACCATGAAGAACAAACCATGAAGAACAAACCATGAAGAACAAACCATCAGAACAAACCATGAAGAACAAACCATGAAGAACAAACCATGAAGAACAAACCATGAAGAACAAACCATCAGAACAAACCATGAAGAACAAACCATCAGAACAAACCATGAAGAACAAACCATGAAGAACAAACCATCAGAACAAACCATGAAGAACAAACCATGAAGAACAAACCATCAGAACAAACCATGAAGAACAAACCATCAGAACAAACCATGAAGAACAAACCATGAAGAACAAACCATCAGAACAAACCATGAAGAACAAACCATGAAGAACAAACCATCAGAACAAACCATGAAGAACAAACCATCAGAACAAACCATCAGAACAAACCATCAGAACAAACCATGAAGAACAAACCATGAAGAACAAACCATCAGAACAAACCATGAAGAACAAACCATGAAGAACAAACCATGAAGAACAAACCATGAAGAACAAACCATCAGAACGTTTTCAACTTCAACATCCAAAGATGATGTTCAGCTCTTACCTTTGCTGTGTGGATTGAAGTCTGCCTGACAGAAGTATGAACACAGAAACAAACTTCAACATGTTGAACCAGCTTTCTGTTTGATTATCAAATACATGAACATCATTATAACGTGCAGGAGGTGTATGTCATGGTCGGGACATGGTGGGGTCCTCAGGTGGACTCCTCTGGTTTCTGGTTTCCACTGTCTCGTCTCTCAGATGTGAGCATCTATCTCTAGTTTGTCTCAGAGTTTAGCCACAGATCTAACTCTGTGTTTCCTGTGACCTCACCAGCTCCACTCTACCTACGACGCCCTCGTTGACCCGTCACCCTCCAGCTTTAGTTATCATCATGGTGCACACTGATTTATTTGATGACAGATGTGATGAATAAAGTTCTTGTTTGCTGACTTACCTTGTGTGTGTCTCTGTGTCCACTGAAATGAAAAACAGGAGACGTGATGATTGACTACGTTTGTTTTCAGAGGGGATCAGTTTTGTTTCTTTATTCAATAAAACATTAAATTATTCCTAAAATAAGATGTTGGTTGAACTTTTTCCTTTCTTTGCAGATCTCATATTAAATGTGTTTATGTGTGTGACCAGCAGATGGAGCTGTTGCTCCACTGAACACAGCGAGGACGTGAGGATCTTCATTTCAAACATGTCTCTGTTAATAAACTGATTCTTCATCCTGTGTCTCAGAGATGAAAACATTCTCCAGTGAAGGAGGAGACTGTAGACCAGCATTTAGTCCAGTCCTCTTACAGATCTGATCCCCCATCAGAAATAAAAACATGAACTGACTCTGAAGCTGTCGAGGCCACACGATGACTTAGACACCTCCCACCACCATGCAGCAGGGTCTGCTGTTGTGCTTTACCCTCCTGTCTGTGTGTTTGTGACCCTGCAGGTCGCTGGTGGGCGGGGCTTCACCACACCTGGGCAGACCCTGATCAGACTCTCAGGTGTAGTCAACATGTTCACTCTCTCATCATCACCACACTGCTCCTATTCTCTCTGTGTTTCTGTTTCCTCTGTTAGATTATTCTCATACTACAACACACACACACACACACACACACACCACACACACACACACACACACACACACACACTCGTGCGTTCCCCTCGTGTTTAGTCGGGCCTTAGGAGCCGGGTCGTGACATCATAAGAGGTATCGTATTAGTGTAACATATTTGTCCCTGATGAGTAAATGAAAGTGTTATGAATGAGTGGAGAGGGACGCAGTACTCACTCTCTCCTGCAGGGGTCCCGTATAGTCAGAGCAGACAGATAGTTCTCTAACTCGGAGGCAAACGGTGAAGGTGATGAAGAACACCTGAGCAGAAACAGACCTGTGAGTCTGTTCACACATCAAACACCTGGTGATAGTGGAGCAGGTTACCTGTAGGAGGGCTGTGATGTCACAGAGACACAGAAGAGGGAGGGGTTAACTATGTGATGAGGTGTGAGACGCTTCATGCTGTGAATGCTTCCTGTGTTTACCTTGAGTCCGGGCTGCGAAGGCGGGAGCTTCTGAGCTGTAAGAGCAACATGTGACACGTTAAGCATGCTGTGACTGTGATGTCACGCCGCTGGATTATTTAGACCTTCAAAGTCTCCTCACCCACTCGGGTCTTTTTCCGTCCTGGTTTGAGGTCTCTGTTTACAGCTGGTCCTGTGTTCACAACAAGTCAGAATAAATCCTTATGACCACTCCACGTTTACGATGTCATAGAGAAAATAAAACAGTATTAATGCAGCATGAAAAACTAATAATAGTTATGACATCAGCTCTAGAGTCCTCTCTCTAAATCTGACACGCTCTGCAGGCAGTACAACAAGCTCCTTGTTTCTATTATTTAGTGATTTTATACCATGCAGAGATTTTTGTATTTGATGTCTTTGTTTTGTCTCATCCGGACCTTTGATCACCTGAAGCTCTCTGGTCCAGCCAAACCATGGAGTGATATGAATTCAGAAAAGTGTGTGTGGTGAAATTGTTCATTTCCTTTAAAAAGTTTCATATTGAGCTTGATTTAAGATTCTCTCTAAACTGGAGCTTTTAGTCTCTTTACCTGAAGTGGGATTCAGTGGGACTTTTCTGGGGTTTCCCTGTGATGGAGAGAAAGCACAGAAACATAAAGAAGAGCTGTTTGGTTGTCATGTGACGTTCATGATTAAGAAAAAGAGAAACCTTACAGCGGAGGGTGACGACAGGCTCTGAGCCGAAGATGTCCTCGGGAGATCCCTGTCTTAAAGAAGCAGGACAGTAACGTTTGCAGAGTCAGAGTCTCAGTGTTACTGGACTGTTTCAACTCTTTAGCATCCCTGTAAGGCGATCGTTGGCGCTCCCAGCAGCACGCTGTAGCAGCACGCTCCCAGCAGCATGCTCGCTGTAGCAACACGCTCCCAGCAGCATGCTCTCAGCAGCAAGCTGTAGCAGCACGCTGTAGCAGCACGCTCCTAGCAGCACGCTGTAGCAGCACGCTCCTAGCAGCACGCTGTAGCAGCACACTCCAAGCCCCTCCAAGGTGGGGGGGGGGTCATGCAGTGTGGATACTCTCTCCTTTTACTCTCCTGCACGGACGTGGCTCCCGGCCAGGCGGCAAACAGCTGCACAGCTACAACTTTATACTGAGTGAAGCTTTTAAATGTGTTCACAGTCTGTAATCAGAACAGTGTGTAGCTACAGCGTGCTGCTGGGATCGTGTTGCTGGTAGCGTGCTGCTACAGCGTGCTGCTGGGAGCGTGTTGCTGGTAGCGTGCTGCTGGTAGCGTGCTGCTACAGCGTGCTGCTACGAGCGTGCTGCTACAGCGTGCTGCTACGAGCGTGCTGCTACAGCGTGCTGCTACGAGCGTGCTGCTACGAGCGTGCTGCTACAGCGTGCTGCTACGAGCGTGCTGCTACAGCGTGCTGCTACGAGCGTGCTGCTACAGCGTGCTGCTACGAGCGTGCTGCTACGAGCGTGCTGCTACAGCGTGCTGCTACGAGCGTGCTGCTACAGCGTGCTGCTACGAGCGTGCTGCTACGAGCGTGCTGCTACAGCGTGCTGCTACAGCGTGCTGCTACGAGCGTGCTGCTACAGCGTGCTGCTACGAGCGTGCTGCTACGAGCGTGCTGCTGGGAGCGTGCCGCTGGAGCGTGCTGCTGGGAGCGTGCCGCTGGGAGTGTGCTGCTACAGCGTGCTGCTGGGAGCGTCAGAGCGACTCAGCAGCACGACAGAATGACTCACACCGACACAGAGCGACCAAACAGCAGCTCTGTGGTTAACTTAGACTTCAAAAACATACGAACAAACAAACTGTCAAAGAGAAACTGAACTAAAGGTAGACTCTACCTGCATACTCTCTCTCCTCGTGTATGGGCCGTGCAGGAAAGATGCGCACGTTTAGCTCCTCCTTCTGGTCATCCACCACGTCGTACTCCGGCTCCATCACGCCGATGGAGTTACCACATCTCTGGTTTCTGCACTCCTTCAGAAACAAACATGTTTAAACTGCACAGTGAGTTCTCAATCATCAGATTACAACATGAAGTGACACAGTCTGTCAGGGTTTACAAAGAACAGGAGGAGCACAGGAAGCTTCATGAGGGGCTGTGACACAACTTGATGCCTGATTTCCTTTAAAAGGTGTCAAAGCTGTGCGCACACACACACACACACACACACACACACACACACACACACACACACACACACACACACACACACACACACACACACATGCAGAGAACAAGGCGTTGCAGCATGTTTTAAAGGTCTCATATTTTAAATCCTCTTCTCCATGTTCCTCTAACTCTAACATGTGTCTCTACTCCGTCTACAAACCCCCCAATCATGAGAAAAGTCCATCCTCTCCGTCTTCTGCCTGCTCCACTTTTCAGAAAATGTGTGCTCAAACAGGCCGTTTGGAGATTTTCCCTTCATGACATCACAAAGGGCAGTAGCCCCTCCCCCAGGTGGGTGACACTCCCACAGCTAGGTGTTTGTTCTGCCCTCTGAGTCTGCCTTCTCACCATAAACAATAGGACATGGAGCGAGAAAGACAGAGACACCCAAGAAACTTCACACACATGTTTTGAGGAGCTCTGAGACTTATTTAAACTGAAGAAGAGGAGGAGGATATGTGACCTTTAAAGGCACAACCACACGGTGAGAGCGACGCCCCTCGTGAGAGCAGTTATCAGGTCAACAGGTGTTGCAGCGATGGAAGCGGTCAAGAGAAGTGGTTCAGATAGAAGTGATTGTACCCGACCTAAAAAGCCTCTGCATGTTTCTAATAAGCTCCACGAGCAGAAACGTGCTCAAACTAGGATCAATATTGGAGATGCTTTTGAAAAATGGAGAGAGGTTAGAACACAGAAAGGTGGTCAAGTGTTGTATGAAGCAGCAGTGACCTCCGTTGTCCAATCAGGCGTCTCTGCTCGTCAACATAGAGGGAGAGAAACTGTGTGTGTGTGTGTGTGTGTGTGTGTAAAAAGTCCAGTTAGCATCGTTAGCACCAGCGCTAGTTTGTTTACATCTGTCATGAAAACTAAAGAGAGACAGCGTTGCACGATGACGTCACAGAAACACCTTAAAGAGAGTTTTACTAACGAGAGTTTACAGAGACCTGAAACACAGTTTGAGTACGAGAGGTCAAAACACTCAGAAGATACTTTCTGAATGATATTAAGAGTTTTTCTCTCCGTGCTCTCACGATGACGGAGCAGAATAACTCTCTCTCTCCTCTCGCTGCTAACAGGTAACTCCCAACGCTTCCCCTGGGAACGCTCATGTGGAACCGTCGAGGACGCGGGCGCCATAACTCACCATTATCCCAGCAGACTCATGACGGTGTTCTCTCTCTCTGCAGCTAACGAGGGCGAGAGACAGAAGAGAGAAACATGGTTAGTTCAGAGTCCAAACACACACACACACACACACACACACACACACACACACACACACACACACGCACACACACACACACACACGCACGCACACACGCACACACGCACAGACACACACACACAGACACACACGCACGCACACACACACACACACACACACGCACACACGCACACACGCACAGACACACACACACAGACACACACGCACGCACACACACACACACACACACACGCACACACGCACACACGCACAGACACACACACACAGACACACACACACACACGCACACACACACACGCACACACGCACACACGCACACACGCACAGACACACACACACAGACACACACGCACGCACACACACACACACACACACACGCACACACGCACAGACACACACACACAGACACACACACGCACACACACACACACACACACACACACACACGCACAGACACACACACACACACACACACACACACACTCCACTCACACACACACACTCCACTCACACACACACAGACACACACGCACACACACGCACACACGCACACACGCACACACACACACGCACACACGCACACACACACACACACGCACAGACACACACAGACACACACACGCACACACGCACACGCACACACGCACACACGCACACACAGACACACACACACACACGCACACACACACACACGCACAGACACACACAGACACACACACGCACACACGCACACACGCACACACAGACACACACACACACACGCACAGACACACACAGACACACACAGACACACACACACTCCACTCACACACACGCACACACGCACGCACACACACACGCACACACGCACACACACACACACACAGACACACACAGACACACACACACACACGCACACTGTGACTGTGAGATGTTTGGCGCCTCGGCCTGTTTAAGGTTCCTGATTAAAACATCACGTTTGTGTTTCCACGTTGATAACGAGGCTGCAGGAGGTCTGATCCAGTCTGAGACCTGATCCAGTCTGAGACCTGATCCAGTCTGAGACCTGATCCAGTCTGAGACCTGATCCAGTCTGAGACCTGATCCAGTCTGAGACTGATCCAGTCTGAGACCTGATCCAGTCTGAGGTCTGATCCAGTCTGAGGTCTGATCCAGTCTGAGACCTGATCCAGTCTGAGGTCTGATCCAGTCTGAGACCTGATCCAGTCTGAGACCTGATCCAGTCTGAGGTCTGATCCAGTCTGAGGTCTGATCCAGTCTGAGACCAGATCCAGTCTGAGACCTGATCCAGTCTGAGACCTGATCCAGTCTGAGGTCTGATCCAGTCTGAGACCTGATCCAGTCTGAGACCTGATCCAGTCTGAGGTCTGATCCAGTCTGAGGTCTGATCCAGTCTGAGACCTGATCCAGTCTGAGACCTGATCCAGTCTGAGGTCTGATCCAGTCTGAGGTCTGATCCAGTCTGAGACCTGATCCAGTCTGAGGTCTCTGTCTCATGTTCTGTACTGTAGCAGCAGTCTGTTCTTTATACCATGACAATAAAGAGTCTCTAGATGGCGCTGTAGCTGTCTGCTGCCATCCGGCCTAAAGCTGACCTTTGACCCTGAAGTAAACAACATTACAGAGGGGTTCTCCGAGGTGTTTCCAGGGTCTCCTCCAAAGGGGGGCGTCCAGGAGGATTCTGATCACACCTGAACCACCTCAGCCGGCTCCTTTTGATGTGAAGGAATAGCGGCTCTACTCCGAGCTCCTCCCCCTGAACATCTAAGCTTCTCCCCCTCTATAAGCCCCTCCCCCTCTCTCTGAGTCCAGACCCCTCCAGAGGAAACTCATTTGGATCTCATTCTTTCGGTCTCTACTCAAAGCTCCTGACGTCAGGTGAAGGTGAGCAGAGGTCCGTGTGATGTCAGAGACTGAACTACACGAGTGTTCAGTTTGACTTTTGACCGTCGTGTTATCGAGTTTAGAATCCAGAAAAGAGGAAAGCAGAGAGAGAGGGACACGAGGTCAAAGGTCACTGTGCAGGGCTTGATTGACAGGTTTCTATTTGTGAAGCCCCTTTGGGAGAGAAGGAACAAAAACAGGAAGCAGGAAGGAAAGTTCTGAAATAGAAGAGAGACCTCAGTGAGACGTTACAGCGAGGGGCGGTCCCAGAAGGGTCCGGGGTCCAGCAGCACGCCGTCAGACGAAGGTCGTTTTAACGCAGCACAGGAAGCGGCTCGTTTGATTTGTTCTCCTGATAAATATGAATATTTTTATTTCCATTGCTCAACTTTAAAGTCTGAACGATCTGAACTTCAATCTCGTCTGTTCCCGCTCTCGCTGCACGCCGGGCGAGCGGCACGTCTGTGCACAGGGCGGCGCCCATCTATCCTCGCAATATTTTATGCCTCATTTTTCAATCAATCAAACACAGAAACAGGAAGTTACAAATGTTCTTTACCTCTCACATCTTTTGTTCCCGCAGAGCAACGATCAGTGTTTAAATGTGACCTCTGACCTTTATGACCATGTAGAGAGAGAGAGCGCGCTCCCTGACGACAGAAGACGCCGTCCTCTTCACACGCTCTTTAAAGCACGCCGTCTCCTCACACGTTGAAACACAAACGTTCAGGATGAATTCAGCGTCTGCTTACCTTTTTCACACGACGTCAACAACAACACCTGCAGCGGCGGCGTCCAGATGACTGATCCTCTCTGCTTACAGAAAGAGAGTGTGCACTTTCTCTCCGCCTCACAGGGACGAGAGACGGCCCACTGCAGGAAGATGAGACGACTTCCTGTGTGGTGAGAATGAGTGGCCTATTACCTGAAGTCCTCGCTGCTCTGAGTCTCTAACTTCACAGTTTCCTCTGATCATCCTTTAAACTCTCTGCAGCGTGCGACGAGCTATCAGCATTAATAAGACAGTGACATTTCAACGTGTGCTCGAGGAGGAAGCACGCTGACATTTCTCCTCTCATCTTCATCCTGTTTCATTTCGATCTCAAACAAGAAGCTGAGCTCTGATGTGTGTCAGGTTTAACCTTTCAGACTGATATTTAACTTTTCATTTCACAACACAAACACTCGCTGCTCAGGAAATCTGACTTTAATATCCACTGACTCCACGTCATCACACATCTACAGTCATCACATATCTAGTTCAAATCAAACCCCGGGCTCGAACCTCTGCACATGGGGCGTGCAAAATAACCCACTGAGCCATCCAGCGCCCCCTAGAGGTAACTTTCTAACCTTAAAGTCGACCTGTTCTGCTGATCCTCATTTTAAACTCTCATAGTGTTAGTGTTAGCTAGAGGTCCAAACTAAACGTGGTCAAAGTTTCAGATCATGAGGTAAACATGTGTTGGAGTAATCCCAGGATGAGTCAGCAGGGGGCGCTAAACGCCACGTTCTGTAAATCACGCCATAGTTCCCCAATACAAAACCAAAAATTTCAGCAGACGGCTTCAAGACTCTGAAACCTCTTACAGAGACTCTCTTCTCCCAGACCTGGAGAGCAGCCCTCCTCTGGCAGCCCTGCAGCGTTCAGAAGGCTTCCAGAGAGCCGGCCAATCAGAAGAGAGTGTACATGTGTGTGTGTGTGGGGAGGCTTAAAGAGACAGCAGTTGAAAGCAGCTTTTTTACTGACGTCAGTATCAGACAATCAGATCATGACCACTGACGACATGAGGAGGAGGCGGAGCTTTAAGAAAAAAGTAAGTTTGGGTCTTTGAGGTCAAAGGTCACCGAGCTGAACACCTCTGCTCTATCATAGCTTGTTTTTTTCTTAGTCATTAAATTGTGCTCAACCCTCTGAGATCTAACAGTCCATGTGAGAGTTTGAACATAACGCTCTTTAGATTCTCATGGTGGGGTCAAATGTTCCCACATTTCTAAGATTTTTAGGGTTAATTGGGTGTAATTGGCTTCCAAATTGGGAGAAAGGAGGATAAAATCTGATCTGATCGAATAGATGAAAACAGAAATGTGTGAACATCGGCACGCTCCCCTGATGGTGACATCGTGTCAGTCCGTCTTTATTTGAATAATAACAAATGTTCCCTGGAGACGCTTCACAGACGGCCGGTGACTGAGTTAGATGAAGAGAGCAGTCGAGGCTTTTTTTTGTGTTCATGCTTTTGTCTTTTCCATCTCGATGTGAGAGCTCGCAGGGCGGCAGCTAGCCTAGCGGTTATGTTGCGTGCCCGATGTCTACAGAGGCTGTGGTCCTCGTCACAGCGGCCGTGGGTTTGAGTCCGACCTCCGCTCTTTGCTGCACGTTGCCCCCCCCGCTCTCTCCCCCAGCGTTTCCTGTCTCTCTTCAGCGGTCCGTCTAATAAAGACAAAGTCTCCTCTCACGTCATGTTCATGCACACAAAGAGGATCTGATGGTTCGGTATCACATGACCTCGCAGATTAAAAAAAAACAACTTTCAGGTCGTTATTTTAAAACTTTAATCTCCAGAATGTAAAGTGACTAATTCATGCTGCCTCTGTGAAGGTCTCTCTCTCTAACTGTGCTCTGAGAGACGACCTTCCTGTCCTGCTCTGAGGCCGGGCGTCCTACAAAGACAGCTGCAGCCGAGCGCGGGCGATCAAGGTCAGCCTCTCTCTCCTGTGGTTTCTTCTGACTTCCTGTTCGAGATTATCATCTAGCTTCTCATATTCTCACTGATGCTTATCTGTGAGCCGCCAACTCCCCCAACATCTCTACACCTTGGCCCCCAGCGACAGCCCGGTGTCTGTGTATGGCCTGTCAATCTGCCAGCTCATCCTGTGCCCCCCCCCCCTCCCCCAACAACCCCCATCCCCCCTCGTCCCTTGTCCTCCGCAGAGTGGCCAAAAAAATGAGCTGTCCTCTGCCCTGGACCTGTCACAGGGTAATCAGATCCACGATACCAGCCTTGGGGGGCGGGGCGGGGGGGGAAGGGGGGAGGGGGGGAAGGGGGGTGGGGGGTGGAAATACATCACGACAGATTTTGTGCGAGCAGAGGCACCTTCAGTGAAGTTCACGTGTTTTCGTGCCCAGCTCCACAGGAAGGATGCCGCTGACAACGATGATGAAAACCACATCAGGAAGCAGCAGAGGTACCAAGACTCTACCTGCATACTCTCCCCCCCCTACAAGAATCACAACCCCCCAAGAATCACAACCCCCCCAAGAATCACAACCCCTACAAGAATCATAACCCCCACCAAGAATCACAACCCCCCCAAGAATCACAACCCCCAAGAATCATAACCCCCTACCAGAATCACAACCCCCACCAAGAATCACAACCCCCCCCAGAATCACAACCCACCACCAAGAATCACAACCCCTACAAGATCACAACCCCCCAAGATCACAACCCCCCAAGAATCACAACCCCCCAAGAATCACAACCCCCCAAGAATCATAACCCCTACCAAGAATCACAACCCCCCAAGAATCACAACCCCCCAAGAATCACAACCCCCCCCCAAGAATCATAACCCCCCCACCAAGAATCACAACCCCCCAAGAATCACACCCCCCCACCAAGAATCACAACCCCACCAAGAATCACA